AGATAATGAATTGAATAGTGATGCGGACCGACTGTAGAGGTAAAAAGGTAACCAGGCAGTGGAGTGTGGGCCAAGTCATTGTGTTTACCGTTGATAAGACAGGAATACTTAATATTTAACAAAACGAACTCAGTCAAGGGTAAGACGTGACGTATGCGTGATGTACACGGGCCTATAATTAAGTTCGAAATGCACAGGTCAGGCCTCAATTTCGCCATTGTGAGACATTTCATTTCATAGAAATTCGATTTTTGCTAATTTATAGTTACCCTGCAGGAAACGGAATCAGTTTTGGACTATTAAAATACTAGTTGGGTCAAGAAGGTTAACTAGTTCAAGTTATGTCCATTTCCTTGTAACGAAGTGGTCCATTTTTCATATGCTTGTCGTCAAAAACAACTAGTCCATTTGCTACTAGTTTTGCACTAGTGACTGTTAACCAATTTATAGTTACAGCTGTTAAACTACACTGAAAAAAATATTTTCACGAAAAAACTCAAAATTAATCTCTAAACCAACAAGTGATTGAATTTCACTAGTACTTGACGATGCCAAACTTGATGCTCTCCTAATTTAGTATCCAATCAATAGTCGCGGTCCTTAGAGAATTTCTGATAATTATTATGTAATCAAATACAGTAAATGATAATTAAATGGAATTAAAACAAACTTACTTTTTTTGAGGCAAGTCGCCCTCTCTAGGACTTGAACCCGGGACCTTTGGATTTGTAGGCACACTAACTGATTGAGCCATACACGCATCACATTTTGTAATGCCCTAACAAGGTTTATGAATTTTAGTGTGACATAATTCATAAACAGTGATTTTTCACATATATGGGACGTTCCATTTCAACCCGGCCACCCCACTTTTTTATTTTTTTTGTATGTGGACAGTACCACATTGATTGCAAAGCCACTTGCTTCCAATAGTTTACCTCATACCTATTTTGTCAATGTTACCACTCTTTCGCCGTATAATCGCGTTGAAAAGAAAACACAAATTCATTTTTATCCTACGAACGGAAGAAACAATTGGCATGGTTCAAAAGCAGAAAAATCTGTCTTTCCATAGCCGATTACGAGAAAACAAATAGATTTTATTAGACCGTAGATGACCAAGCTATAGCGTTTTTAAAGTCTGAAAGTAGGATTTCGTCCAAAGGGCCAGTCTGCAAAAATACCATTATATTTTTCTCAGAAAGCCCCATATTTAACGGATTTTATGCCACTGGTTTCAAAGTGGGATCTCTCTTGAGGAATTAGCTATGAATTCTTTTCATTAATTTGTTAATTTTTTCCAAAGCATATACGATTATTTTATATTACTTATTAGTTTTTTCTGACAGTTAACTACTACAAAAACGTACAAAAGAATTCATAGCTAATTCCTCAAGAGAGATCCCACTTTGAAACAAGTGGCATAAAATCCGTTAAATATGGGGCTTTCTGAGAAAAATATAATGGTATTTTTGCAGACTGGCCCTTTGGACGAAATCCTACTTTTTGACTTTAAAAACGCTATCGCTTGGTCATCTGCGGTCTAATAAAATCTATTTTTTTTCTCGTAATCGGCTATGGAAAGACAGATTTTTCTGCTTTTGAACCATGCCAATTGTTTCTTCCGTTCGCAGGATAAAAATGATTTTGTGTTTTCTTTTCAACGCGATTATACGGCGAAAGAGTGGTAACATTGACAAAATAGGTATGAGGTAAACTATTGGAAGCAAGTGGCTTTGCAATCAATGTGGTACTGTCCACATACAAAAAAAAAGTGGGGTGGCCGGGTTGACATGGAACGTCCCATATATTGCCTCGGACAGATTAAACAAAGTTTAAAATAAAACTAAAGCATCACCTAGCAAACAAAAAACAAAAAAAAATGTACAGAGACTGGGGATTGAACCGAGGACCTCGAGTGTTTGATTTGTTTATTGTTAAATTTCCCAAGACATTTACCCTCTAGGCTATATTTTTGGATCATATGTGTTTCATTTGCAACTAGTTAAATTCCAGTTGCCTTTTAACTAGACCCTAACATGTATTTGTTCTACCAGTTAAATATTTTTAAGGTTTTTTTTGTCAGAAAGGTACTAGTCCGAGGCAAGTTTATTTTTTACTAGTTTTGTATTAATCATTTTTTCGACTAGCACAAATTTTCTAGACCCTGTGTAGTCCAAATGCATTCAGACAAATTCCGGTTGCTTTATATTAGTTATTTAACTTGTTGTTTTTCAGACTAGTTCGCATTTTTCCTGCAGGGTAGTTAAAGTTTAACCTAATAAAACCTGACTCAGTGTCAAAAAACATAAAGGTTGTACTTGCTATTTTATTGGATTTAATGCACATTAATAGGAGCACAATGGCTATGATATCATCTCTGGAATTGTGCACGAATTATGTTAGCTCCAAATACTCAACTGCACTTGCACACAGAAGCTTCCCTTTCAGTCCAAATATATATGTTACAAGGTATTATATATATTTATAGCATAACTAGCCAGCACACACCAACTAATTGATTTTTGACAATCAATTACGGCAATTACTTACGTCTGCTGCAGGGTCGAATGGTGGAGGTAAACTCAATTTGTGGAAACCTACAAAACGCACACAACGTGACTTTGGCTTTTCGGTAATCTTTTACTGAGCTAATCCCTTGTAAACAAGGATAGCCTTCAAATGGTTAAAGGAGCAGCTGCTGGAGGAGCTCTCTATTATTTTCTGTACAAGAAGACCAATTTAAAACATGATATAAATAGGCACACTTAAGGAAATTTGGTTAGTGATTTGTAGAGTTATAATATAACTATTTTTTTTAACATAAACATATAATAAACATGATATAATTTTTTATCATTGCAAAATGCTCTCCAAATAGAAATTTTCCATTCCAAAGTTGCCCTGTTCTATAAATATTTTTATTCACACTTGTTAATCAAAATTAAACAGAAGAAAAGTAGACCAATGGATAATTTTAATGTGCTTTAATCAGACCTCTTATCAGTATAATATAATATAACACAATGAGAAATTCCATTCCTAAGTTTTTCTGCTTTATAAATAGTTTTAATCGGCCCCCTGAGACACCAGATGAAAATCCAATTGTAAACAATAGAATATTACACCACATAAAAAACCCATGATGAACAATGTAAAAAAAGCCATAAAGCCAGAGATAAAATCATATTTAAATTCATAAGCGTGTGTAACGTCCTTATGCGCGGAATTAAAGAGCTGAACTAAACCATAGATAGCGGCCAACCGCAATATAAAACCCGGCCACTGTAAATATGGCGCCGGAAAAAAACAGAAAAAATAAGCTCAACAAAGTGCTACAAAATTAAATTATTTTTTTGCGACGGGCAAAATAAAAAGCAGGCGAAAATGAAAAACTGAGTTTAGGGAGGAGCAGCAACAGCAGCAGCATCACTTGACCCTTTCGGTGGGCTTAATTTGTCTGGGAGCCGCAACTGTTTTGGCCTTATGACTTGGCGCCAAAAAATAAAAGCTTAACTTCGGGGGAAGCCCATTCGCCCACTCACCTTTCAAAAAACCCTCTTCCTTCAGCCAGTCGAATGTTTGTGCAGTTAGTGTTTGGAATTTTTCCCATTTCCGTCTGCAACTGCAGCTCCATTTGCTCAAAGCGAACTGTAGTTGCCTTGACTTTGGCTCCATTTTAGTTTTTCTTGTGTGCTTTCGCTTTTTTATACAGGGTATTTTGATGAAACAAAAAGTATATTGAATTTATAAAAATGTAAAAATGATAATTGGCTTGGCATTTTTTTTAAAGGAAGATTTATCTTGCCTAGTATTTATTTAACATTTCGTATAATGATAAATCTTATAAAAATTAATAATTTTATGAATTTTTAATTCTATTTTTAAATAGTTTATAACTTATACCTTAAAATTAAATTTGATAATTTGAAAATGTTTTCTTTTTAATAATAAACCTTATCATAATTACTGGGTACCTTCAAGTCGCATACCTTTCCTTTATATTTCTTTATAGTTTTTGTGTGTACTTTGTGTTGTGCACACTTGAGCCAATTTAACGCTTCCGTGTGTTTTTTACTTGCCACGCCTCGTTGACTGTGCTGGAAAACTTTTTGCCCCGGAGGTTCTGGAGAAGGGAAAAAATCATTTAATTTCTACCTAAAAACCGAAAACACAATCCCTAAATTAGCCGGCTGCCATGAACACTTCAATTAATCCAGTTAAGTAATCGCAGGCGTTTTTCTTTGCCGCCAGCTAAACTATTCAGTGCCATTGATTACTGGGCCCACAAATTAGGAGCAATTAAATCAAATCCGGATTGCACTGGGGCATTCATTCATTCGGGCCCACGCAAATGGTGGCCTTGAACTTGCCAACATCTTTGGCCAACATCCATTAGCCAAAACAGAAAAGCCAGACTCTGTTCTAATATCTTACTCTGCCATTTTTTTTTTTTTACGTATCCAACCGGGGGCATTTATGCTCAGCAAATCGACTTTGGCCCTTTGGGGAGTTGCCAAGATGATGCCAAGAACCATGAAATGGGAATGAAAAGCTTGAATATGCATTATTCTTTCAGCCGGCCGGCCATCAACTGGCAATCAGAAGTTGCTCGAGTGGAAAAATCAAATGTATTTCGCTGTCCAAATGTGTGAAGTGGGCGGCAGGGGGCTGAAAAGTGGCTGTGGTTACAAGGAAAAGCGTCTGAAAAGTTGCCTATCTACAAACTAAAGTTCGCTAAGTGTTTAAGTAAATATCTTATCGTTATTTAAACATATGCTTCGGGTCAAGTATTTTTCCTGTCTAGATTAGGTAATGGGAAAAGTTATAGGTGCAATCAGATAACCAAAATTTAAAGAAACAAGATCTTTTTTAAAAAGTTTTTTATAACTAAAACAGAAAAATTCCATATTTTTTCATATAAAATTTAATATAAATTATTTTTTTTTTCTGTGTAAATAACAAACGTAGCTAGCTTATCGGTTAACTTAAATATAAATCCGATTATCACAAGCATAAAGTGGCTCTGAGATTAAGAAACCTATCAATCACGTTCCGCTGTTCTTCTGCTCATATTCCTCCATAATGGCAATTACTGGCTCGTTGACATATTTACGGACCTCCCAGTTGAGGGCGAAATCACCATGATTCCACTCCGGATCAGTCATGCGATGCATCACCTTATTCGGCAATCTTTTGGCTATTTCCTCAACATCCTCCACGGCGGCCAAGTCATCACTATCTGCATACCACAAGTGAACCAGGGAATTTATCAGCTCCACCGGATATTCTGGAGGTTCCTCGGATCCGTAGACCTGCAGATTCTTTTTGGTTCCATGATCATATTGGCGGAAGTAACCAGATTGTTGTTCCTGGAGATAGTGCAACATTTGATCCGTGGAACAGCCCGCAGGATGGGTGGCCATAGCTTCCGGCATGGCAGTCTAATTAAAGAATATATTATTCAATAATCTATTAAAATTAACTTTTCAATAGCAAACTTACCATATTCACACGACCTCCGGAATAAAGACTCTTCATGGCACCTTCACAAACCGGTCGCAGTAAGAAATCCGGCTGGCAGATATTGAAAAACAAGGCCACGAGGAACTCATTGTGAGGCACAAACTCCTGGGAGCCAAAAAGAATCGAATAGGCATTCCTATGGCCCAAATAGGGACCCAAGTAGCGCACCAAAGGGCTGGACAAATTCTTCATAATAGCCACCGGGGCAAAAAGATGAGCGGTTTTAATCTTATAGTTGTAGGCGGGAATCGAGGACATCAGGGCAAAAAATACCGTGGTACCTTGCGAGTGACCCACATAGTGAATGGCATCCTGACCCTCACCATTTTCGGTCCTCAATGCATAATCAATAATGGCTGAGATATCGTAAACGGCGATCTCATGCCAACTAAATTGCCAGAAAAGTGGAAGATCCGTGGAGAGCGTAGTGTGATTTCTGGAATATGAAGTACCTCGAGCATTGCCCATCCACACATCATATCCCGTATCCGCCAGCAAATAAGGCAGACTATCATTGGGTCCTTGCAAAATCCAGGCATCCGAACAGCTAGTTAGTCCATGTTGAAGCAGGACAATGGGTCGCTTTTTCGTTCTGATTCTGCAACTTGTGGGAGTAGGGAATTCGGAATACTCCCAGGATGTAACCATCTTCGGTGACGATATGATGATGTTCTGAAGGATATCCATGCGCAGCAGTGCGATCAGCCTAAGAAATAATAATGATTATAATAAAACTATAATTATAAATTACAAATCACAAATAACCCTTAGAACTTACCGTAGTTGCTTTACCCTTAAGACTAACATGGGCCTCAGGATTATCGTAGAGTTTGTAGAAATCAATGGTACTTTCTATGGCAGCCGAATAAACTCCCACCGACAAAACTGCCAGGATAAGTAAACTACCCGTAAATCGCTTCATTATACTTATGTTTCCGATGGTTCGATGCCAACTGACTGCTGGCAAACACATGACTTTCGGCTTTTGTAGAGGTCCCCCGGTGGTTTAGCTTCAAGTAGCTCTTACTATCGGTGTTTGATTATATATATTTAGACTGTCAAGATAATTCATAAACCATAGAAGGCACCAATCTAAAAGTTATAAATTTAGGATTAAAGAGGTGGGTAGATACTATTAACCGTCTACTTAAAAAAAGGTAGGTTAAAAAAAAAATAAAAAAATATATTACGCACATTTTAAATTCTATAAATCCCATCGAACAAATGGGCTACCAAATAATCATTATTTCTAAACGAAAATTTTTGGAAATTATAATAAAACTGCCAACTAATAAATATTTCTGGATAAAATCAATAAAATTTCCAAAAACCATTATCATTCCATATTTTAATGTATATATATTTTTGTATCTTTTCAAAAATCATTCAATTATAATAGTCATAAGACCAAAGAATATTATAGGTAAATGATTTTTAAAAAAACAAAAAAACCCGATTTTTATCAGTCCCTGATAAAAGTCAAACCCGTCACTTGGCGTGCTTCCATAATCTTACCAACTTATCGCATACTTCAGCTACTTGAATACATTTTTGATAATCTAAAAAAGAAATGTACCCCCATCAAGTGCTTTAGCTTATCAAGCCATTTATAGATTTAAAGAGCAGTAGTCGTATATTTTACGAGCCCTACTTGTAAATGGGAAAAATGCTTTGTGATAACAAAAGTCGGCTTAGATCTATTGAGTATAATATACACTTGGAGGAAGTAAATGTCGAGTATGAAGTGCAAATCTGATGAGGTGAGAGTACTTAACAAAGTCTAAGCTGCATCCGTTAACGATTAGATATGAATATAAAAATGTGAATTAAATATAAAGAAGTACGACTACAGATTGGGAGTCCTTTCCTATCACTTTGCCTCGTACTTGTTCATGATGTCTATTATTGGGTCATTAATCAACTGTCGCACCTCCCAGTTGGTAACGAAATCCATATGATCCCACAGTGGATCCTCCATATGATGCATCACCTTGTTGGGCAGAGTTTCAGCCACTCTTAAAACATCTTCCACGGCTGACATTTCGTCGTTGTCCCCATACCACAGATGCATCTCACTTGTAATGAGTTCAGTGGGATAATCGGTAGGTGTTTCGGTTCCATATACTTTCAGATTCTTCTTGGTTCCGAAATCAAACTGACGGAAATGTCCCGATTGATGCTCCTGCATGTAATGCAGGATTTGATCCGTGGAAAGTCCAGCGGGCGACACACCAGATATCACGGAATCAGCAGTCTTTAGAAGAAATATAAAATTAATAAAAATATAAATATATATTGTTTAAACCTACGGTATTTTTTCTTCCTAGTTCAATAACAGTCGTTTCCTCACTGCTGCTGCAAAAGCTGGAAACAATCGAGTTTGGTAGACAAACACTGTACATTAGAGCCAGGACAAAGTCGTTGTAAGGTAAAAACTCCTGAGAGCAGAAAAGCGTAGAATAGACATTGTGGAAGCCCAAATAAGGAGACAAGGTATTGACCATAAAGTCATCCATGTGATCCATAAATGCCACTGGAGCCAGCATATGAGCTGTTTTGATCTTCTGGTTATATTCCGGCCTCGATGACATCAGTACAAAAAAGACGGTGGTTCCCTGGGAGTGACCCACATAATGGATTCCCTCCTGACCCTGTCCATTCTCCGTGGCCAAGGTATAATCAATAACAGCGGCAATGTCAAAGTAGCCAATCTCGTGCCAACTGAAGCGCCAAAAGTCAGGATGACTTGTGGAGCGGGTCGTGTGATTTCTGGAGTATCTGTTTCCACGGGCATTGCCCAACCAAACATCGTATCCAGCATCGGAAAGCAGAAAAGCAAGGCCATCATTGGGTCCCATACTTGTCCAAAAATCAGAACTAGCAAACAGGCCGTGCTGTATAAAAACAATAGGTCTCTTTTTATCCTGGTTCTGTAGGTTGTGAGAGTAGGGAATCCGGAAGAGACTGACTATATAGTCATCTTCAGTGGTCACATAATGTCGCTCTACTGGATAACCATGAGCTCCAACGAATTGAATCTGTAGAAGGGATATCCTTAAGATATATCCTTAAAATAATGTAATCCTTCGAGTTACCGTATCGGGACCGTCGGTCAAGGACAAGTGTGCATCGGGATTATTAAAAAGTTCATAGAAATCAGGGACCTTTGCAGGATCCACTTCCTCAGAAAGAGGAGCACCTTGGACAATTATCCCCAGGGAAATGGCCACCAAGGCAGCAAAGACAGCCAAGTGAGATCCATACATTTTGCGACTGAACTAATGCGAAATTTCAGAACGCCACTCCCTTATAAAGACTTCCAAGGGGCACTCGAGTAAAGTACTCATTTTGATAGTAGAGCCAATTAAATGGGCATAAACTCAAGTGGTCGAAATATCATAAACTTTTTCACATACAAACACCTAGGTAAATTTGCACTACTACTAGAACCTATGTTTTCCCTACGGATATTGCACAGTTTGGATTTTCCACCGAATTTCCAACAAGTCCTATTAGATTAAACGAATTTATTTCCATTTTTAATGCTGGTTTGCGATGGTTTGCGGGTTTCTTTGATAAAGGGATCGTTAAATAGGTATAATTTCGCTACTACTTGTAGTAATAGGTTTTAGTGAGAGTGAAATTTAATTTTATGCCCACACTTTAGTTAATGAGCTTTTAATTGGATCATTCCGATAATCGATTCTTTATAAGGAGAAGGCTCTCTCCATTTTTGCAGTAGTTCGGTTTCAAAATGTCGAGATCTCGCATATGTGTGGCCTTAGTGGCAATTTTTCTGGTGACAATTGTCCAAAGTGCTCCTCTGTCTGACGAAGTGGTTCCTTCGGAAGTTCCTAACTTTTATGAACTTTTCAATAATCCCGATGCTCATTTATCTCTAACCAATGCTCCAGATACGGTAAGATGAGTGATATCTAGTATTTTTGGATATATAACATCTCAAACTCAATTTACAGATTTATTTCATTGAAGAGCATGGCTATCCAGCGGAGCGTCATTATGTGACCACTGAAGATGGCTATATAATCAGTCTCTTCCGGATTCCCTACTCTCACAACCTGAAGAACCAGGATGAAAAGAGACCAATTGCCTTTATACAGCATGGTCTCTTCGGCAGCTCCGATGTTTGGCCAAGTTTGGGACCGGATGATGCTCTTCCTTTCCTGCTTTCCGATGCTGGTTATGATGTTTGGATGGGCAATGCCCGGGGAAACAGATATTCCAGAAATCACACGTCCCTCTCCACAAATCACCCGAACTTTTGGCGCTTCAGTTGGCATGAGATTGCCTATTTCGACATTGCTGCTGCCATCGACTACACTTTGTCCACGGAGAATGGAAAGGATCAGGAGGGAATCCACTATGTGGGTCACTCGCAGGGGACCACCGTCTTATTTGTCCTCATGTCTTCGCGGCCTGAATATAACCAGAAGGTTAAGACTGCTCATATGCTGGCTCCGGTGGCCTTTATGGATAATATGGAAGACGGCATGGTCAATTCCCTGTCACCTTACCTGGGCTTCCACAATGTCTATTCCACGCTTTTCTGCTCTCAGGAGTTTTTACCTTATAATGACTTTGTCCTGGCTCTAATGTACAGTGTTTGTCTACCAAACTCGATTGTTTCCAGCTTTTGCAGCAGCGAGGAATCCACTGTTGTTGAGCAAGGCAGAACTAATTCGGTAGGTTTTAGTAAAATATCTTCTTATTTATTATTATTAATTTTATATTTTCCTTAAGACTGCCAACTCTGTGATATCAGGAGCAATGCCCGCTGGTGTCTCCACGGATCAGATCATTCACTACATGCAGGAGTTTCAATCGGGACATTTCCGTCAGTTTGATTTCGGAACCAAAAAGAATCTGAAGAGTATATGGAACCGAAAGCACCACCCGATTATCCCACTGAACTGATAACAACTGAAATGCATCTTTGGTATTCGGACAATGATGAAATTGGCTGCCGTGGAAGATGTTCTCCGAGTGGCTGAAACGCTACCCAACAAGGTGATGCATCATATGGAGGATCCACTGTGGGATCATGGTGATTTTGCCAACAATTGGGAAGTACGTTATTATATCAACGATCCGATTATTGCCATCATGAACGAGTACGAGACTAGAGCAGAGTCCAACTCTAACAAATAGTTATATTATAAAAATGTATTATTATGTAAATACGAACCAAAATCCAGCCATATCTTATCATTAACGGATGCAGCTTAGACATCCAGAAGTAGACTCACTTCACTGTATAGAAGGGTCTATCAGATTTGCACTTCATACTCGACAATTATTCCATCCATATGCTTATGCATATTCATTAGATCTTAGCCGACTTTTGTAATCAAAAAGCAATTTTCCCATATATAAGTAGAGGTCATAAAATATACAACTACACCTCGTTAAATCTATAAATGGCTTAATAGTCGATGGGGGTAAATTCTTCAGTTAGATTACCGAAACTGTTTTCAAGTGCCTTAAATGGGCGATAAGTTAAGGTGACACGATTAGTTTTTTGAATTAGCGCGTTTCTTTTCGGAAACGTCAATTAATTTATGACACACGAACTTTATGAGTTGAGCATGAGTGAAAAAAGGGGGCAAAACCTACATAAATGATTAACCGAGATTTAACGTGGTTACAGATTAGAAACAAGTACATTTCTAAGTAAAATAAATGCAGTTTTTATTTTCAATAAATTACTATAAATAGTTCTGTTTTTTTTTTTAGTTTACATAAATAAAATTGTAACTTCATTTGGCAAAATAAAGCTCTCTTTAGCGGAAGATATTCCTCTGTAAAGAATTAAACAAATTTTAGCAGCGCACTCGTGCTGGAATGTTTTTCATCTGGTGATTTTCCCCTATTTTTAGGACCGCCACCATTCCTTGGACGGCATGTGCTTCAACATGGCAATGATATAGCCAGAATCCGGGATTATTCGAGAGAAAGCGAACGATAATGTAGCCCTGTCCCGGAATCTGAACCGTATCCTTGGCCACGGCAGCACTGTCATCAGATAAACGAGGAAGTCTTCCCCTGCGATCAAGTTCGCGGATCTGTAAAAAGGTATAAAAAGAAGGTAAGTTTTGTAAAATATTAAATACTATTTATTAAACTTACATTCCGCAAATCATTGAGATTTCCCAGAACTCCCTGACCCACCAGTCGGAAAGTAAACCCATGTACGTGGAAGGGATGGGTGCTGTCCAGATAGTTGGCCACGACCATTTCCAAAGGTCGATAGGCCGGAAGTCTCATAACGTGAACACACTCACAAAGTTCCCGTTCACAATTTCTGCCTTCCGCAGCCAGGGAGCTCTTGTTACAAAAATATCCATCGTCCTGATAAAGATGCCTGCCCTGCAACAGGGATATTCCCGGGGAATTGTACGAAACATCGTCGATCTGGAATAGCAGCTCGCCATTCTGAGCCGTTCTTGAACCAAAACTGGAGTAGTGGGTCAGGAACTTGGTGTAACGATTCCAGGGTACGGGATTTACGGATCGCAGGGCGACAGTGCCCACGTTATTATCCTTATCCAGGGATTGGCGGAGGGAAGATATAGTCGAAGTATTGGAAGGCTTATATCGGAAATCATTGACCAAGATCAGTTCCTCCTCATCGGCGGACCTGCTTCTCCGCTTATCCAGGATATCACCCTGTGGCAACTCCGAACGAGTCGATCCGCGATAGCTAAGCACAGCTCCTTGGTAGAGATTTCTGCTCTCACACTGCTCGTAGCCCTTAATCCTGATCCAATAGTTTTTATTATACTGATTGGCATCCAAGACGAAATCAAATCGCTCGGCGGAGGTCAAGAAGAAAGCCATCTGCTAGAACGGGTTCTATATCATTGCCATCGGTGCTGATGATGAGTAGCTTGTGCTGCTCGATGGAGAACTCCACGGGACAGTTGGCTATGCCATTGAGGATAACCCTCATGCGATAGCGATAGCCTGGCGTAACCCTAAGTCTTTCGTAGCGATGACGATTATCATTATCCGGCAGCTGGCTGAGATGATTGCGACCTTTGCCGTTAACCAGGATATTGCGAGCATCCTGCAGATTGTATTCATAGAAGATATCCTGGATCATCAGGGTGTGCTCCACCAAATCGTAATCGTAGAGCTGCGAGTGCTGATTCTCCTGTCTTGTCTGTCGAACTATCAAAGCACCAGCTATTCCAAAGCCACGCTGCCAACCCACATGGCTGTGATACCACAAGGAACCACTGCGATCCACCTGGAATTCATAGCGCTGAACCTCCCCAGGTTGCAGGGGATATTGGGTGATGAAGGGTGCTCCATCCATTTCAGGGGTACGATGCATGTGAATACCATGCCAATGCATAGTTGTGGGTTCACCTAGGTAATTTAAAACATCCACCACCACTGTATCGTTTTCACAGAGCTCTATTGGAGGTCCTGGAACCATGCGATTCACAGCCATCACTGGATTGGCCACTCCATCGCCAAATATACAGTGTTCCGCGGCACAGGCTCTCTCATCATATTGGCACCTCTGACACTCCGGTCCAAGTCTCTGATAATTGTGAACCACCAGTTGGTAATAGCAGTTCTGCGATTGACCCTGCTGGCAGACTCTCCGGCAGGGATGACGATCAAAGTCCCCAAAGTTGGCCAGCTCCATTTGACTGTAGTCATTTTTCAGATCCAACGAGGGTGTAACCTTGGTGGTTTTATTGCGCATCCAGGCAAACGAGGGCCATTCGAACTTGGCCTGCGGTAAGTCCTCTTTCAAGGACTCCTCCGATTTCGCCTGATTTAAAGCGAATACGAGTAGTATTATCAGCACTGGGCTGGGAAAACTTTTACTTTCGCGTTTGGACATCGCGAACCGCCACGGGCAACTGGCCACTCGATTCGCGGGCAGCCGACGAAGAAAGTTATTTTTTGGCCCATTGGGCGACCCAGACCTTTGCGCATGCGCCGCACGTAATGGCCATTAAAGCTGAGCTGAATTTGATAAACTCGAAAATATTAAACGATCGGGAACTAAATGGAAGTGAAACAGTTTAGCTACTTTTAATGGGAATTTTAAGTAATAGAAAAAATTCCTAATTAAATAAATCAATTTAAAATGGGTCACTGATAATAATAACCATAAATATGCAATGTTTTAAACTGATTGGAAAATGATTATTAATATAGTTAAGTTTACCTATGGAAATATTCAAAGCTTTTAATAAATAAACCAAGTAATAGCAATGTAGAAATAAGGTTAGTTTGTAATTTATTTCTAGTTCATAAATGGTCTCTATAAAATTAATTTAAGCTTTTAAAATAACTTTTACAATACCTAAGCGTACAAATCCCAATTTTAGGCGCATAAACTAAAATAAAATATAATGGACACTGATCACCGGCAACGATCAAAGTCTCAGTTGAGTTAAAAATACATTTTTATTAAGATTAGTTTTAGAATACAGTTTAAATCTCTGGAGTTGCCATTGCCGGGGCTGCTGATGATGCAGCTGCCATACCTGAAGAACTGGCTGTCGTGCTCATAAGACTTATCACTCCACAGGCGATGGCAGGACCCACCGAATTCTCCTCGTTCTGATAGGCCAGCGGATTGGGCATTACTTGGAGGGAGGACGAAAAGACCTCCGCATTTAGAGCAGTGTTTAGATCGATAGCCTTGCTATGGATTACAATTGAACGACCAACGATTCCGTTTATGCCAAACAGCTGCAGGTAAATACTCTGAAAGACCGCCGAAATGCTGCCGTCATCTTTGGTGTCCACATTACCGAGCTGTAAAAATGGAGAAAAAATGTTTTAAATTTTTTTACAAATATTTTTAAACTAACATATATTAAATATCAATCGTAGAAATTTTTTTTTATATATTTTATATTTAACGAGCGAGTATAAGATAAATCTTGTTATAACTTACGAAATTATTTGGAAACTGTCCTCCTGTGGACTTGCAACCATCGCTAAGATCTCCAAAGGTGTGGATATGCAGGGCATGTTTACCAGGTGGTAATCCCGTCACATTGATCGTCACCTTGATGTCCGAATTGTAGGGAAGCTGTATGAAGGATATCATTCCGGCCACACTGGCTCCTTCCCCATCGCCTACCAGTTTGGCACCTGCCTGCCATTGTGGAACCAACTGCTAATATAAAATAGTAATTATTAAAAATAAATTAAGAGGTAAACTAAAGAACAAATACCTATATTTAATTCTGAAATGATTTATAGTTATGCCAAGAACCGACAAAAATGTTAATTGAATTTTAGCTTTACTAATTTAAAAACACTATTTTTCAAGATCAAACTGATTAAAAAATTTAACATTATTAAACAAAAAAAAGTTTAGGTACATCATACTCAACTAGCGTTTGATATCATTAAACAATTAAATAGTGGCCAAAACATTGAGAATAGGGGAAGTACAATTCTTTTCAGTTGAAATAGAGCTGTACAATACATTGTGATTCTATGTTGCGAAAACCGTCAGCCAAAAGAGATAATGAATAGTTGTTTAAATGACTGTGTAATTTACAAATTAGTCTATAAATAGAACTGGCATAAATGAAATTGAAATATAGAAAATCTACTCACATAGGAGTAACCCAAGTAGGAAGGTTGTGGTGGCAGCAGAGGTCCCAGGAGTCCAGCAGGTCCTGGAATTCCCACCGGTCCTCCTAGCGGAACCGTCAGCCGTTCGTATCGCTTCACCTTGGTGCCGGAAACCACTTTGATGCCATCATCGAACCTGGTCATGTTCACCGGACGCAGTCGATCCAACAGATTTTGTGCATCGCCAGGCGCAAAAATGCCGCCACAGGCAATTACCAACGCCAGAATCAGTTTAACAAGCATTTTGAACGGATTCGAAATGGAAATATAGAACTTTTTAGTGGGGAACTCTTTCGACCTCTCCGATCTGGGGGCTCCGGTTGAACTGATCCAAGCGCCCGGCTCGGCTCATCCATGATGACTTCGACATGGTTTTCACGCTGATTGACCACGTTAATTGCGGCGTGGACTCGGAGTGGTGGCGATATAGACAGATATATAGCCGGCACATTTGATGACTAGATTGGGACGCTAATGGCAGTCGAGTGTCGCGTGTGTCTGATGTTTGGTTACCTGCTGCAGGGGCGTACTTCTTGCGGGGATTGGGCACAAGATCACAAGAATCTTTAGAACGACTTCTATTATTGAGACGTTTAGAAGCGGTTGACAAATCAATAATATCAAACAATACATTGGAAATTATTAAGTGGTATTACTTTACAAATAATAAAGTGACATTTATGCACCTTCTTATTTTATAATTTTTTGAAATTGATAATAGCAAGAATTTGCAGATCATTTTGGGGCTTAAGAGCGGATTGTTCCAATTTAAACTAGATCATCATTAACTCATTGAAAGTGTAAAACCTAATTCAAATCCACCAAATCAACACGCTATACTTTTTGACAAAGTGATGACAGAATGGGTTTTATTTTTCATATAATTGTTGATTGAAAAATTAATCAATTTAAAATAACCAAAGCGAAATACAAAAAATACGAATTAAAGCCCAAATAAGTCAAAAAAATATGTATAAACTACCAAGAAAATACAAATTTGTATTAATTTAAGAACAAAATCTACTAAAATATAACTCACATCTTTATTACCATATATTTTCCTTACAATATTAAAATTCAAAGCTATAACAAGCAAAAGATTATCACCCCATGGCTCTACCCGTTTGACCCCATTATCTATCTGATTAATTTGAGTACAATGTGAACTATAAATGGTTCATCACGAAGCCACTGAAAGTGAAACACCTAACCCAGATTCCAAAAAGCGCAATCGACACGCGAGATTTGCTGGCAAATATAGATGACATATATAGTTTATTTTTTAAATGGCTATGGCTGTCCATTTGCAATTATAAACACATTCATGCGGTTTCGCAATAAATTAAACTGGGTTATGCGTGTGGTTAAGGAAAGTAAAGTTAATGGATTACAGGAGGATCAGTCGTTTTAGGTCTGCCTTAAAATCGAAGTTAATGGGGATTGGGATTCATGGATCATCGGTAGCCGCCTCGCTGTCCTCCTCGACCTCCTCCCCGCCGCCGGCCTCGGCCTCACCGCCACCACCTCCACCTCCTCGTCCGCCCTGCGGATTCCATCCAGTTCCCTGCACACGTCCACTGCCGCTGATCCACTGCTGGTCATTTCTCTCGCGGCTGCGATCGCGTTGGTTTTGGTTTTGATTCTGATACTGCTGATGTTGCTGCTGTTGAGGTTGCTGCCAGTTGCCACCTCCTTCTCCGCCGCCTCCTCCTCCTCTTCCACCGCCGCCTCGTCCTTGTCCTCCCCTGAAGCTACCTCCTCCTCCACCACGACCTCCTCCGCCTGGCGGACCACTAGCTCTTTGCTGCTGCCACGAAGGCATCTCCGGTGGCGGAGGAGCGTGCTCATTGGCGCGGCCACCGCGATCGGGCACCCGTCCAATCACATGCTTCTGGATCTTGGACGCCGTGTTCTTCCTCACATTCGCCGAGCTCGTCTTCTCGATAATGGCCAGATCCGAGCGAGCTGCCAGCAGGGCCACCATATCCGTCTGTTCGCCGCCAACTTTCAGCTGCTCCAGCTCGCGCATTTGGCGATTGAAGCGATCCATGATCTCGTTGGAGCGCTGGCGCATGGAATCCGACCACTGGAAGCTCTGCACCGTGGCCTCCAATCGAGTGGTCATCATCTGCCGGCGCAGATTGTACTCCGCCTCGAGATCTCGATGCAGGGACTCCAGGACGCGCCATTGGCCATCACTCAGAGGCTTCTTTAGCTTCAGCAGGGGTTCACTGAGCACCTGGCGATTGATTTGCTTGAGGGACTGCTCCAAACGGGGGGTAATCTTCTCGAAAAGCAGCTTGGTATTGATGTTCTTCGGGAGCTCGCCCAGCTGAAGATCTTTGGCCAAGGCTTTCCACAGCCTGTTGGACATTGGAGTCGGTTTTCGAGCGCTTGCAGGGCGGACCCACTGGTTGGGACTTCAACACCATCTTGGTGGTCATCAGTTCGGATGTGAGATACTCCAGCAGTTGAACCAGAGACTCGCGATCCTGGAAACGCTGATCGATGGCTCCCTGGACCAACCGGCGGTAGGGGCAACCCAATTCCGTGAGCAGCAGTGACAACTCGAAGGCGAACTCATCGTTGTCCTTTTGACTGGAGCTCACTCGCTCGTCGGTTTTCCGCAGAATGTGCAATTCGTGGGCCAACCAGTGGACTACTGCCCTTAAGTCCGGACTTGCGATTCCCGCGTCCAGAGCGCGACTCAGGCTCTCCTGCTGCAGGCAGGGTCCCTCGTAGGCCAGCGCCTGCAGCGAGTCCACCACGTCCAGTTCCAGCTCCATGTCCTTCGGGGGTTTCAAGCTTTTTCCCAAATTGTCAATTTTCCTTCGCTGCCGGCATGCACTGAGCTATCGATTAACGATTTTCGGAACAGCGCTGCCAACTGGACCTTATCAACAGGTTGAAGTTTTCGCTGTTACCTAGGACTCAAACCAAGAAAGTACTTAAAATTATTTGAAAAATTTAAGATTTGTTATTGTAGGAAACAACTTACAAAACTGCGTTATATTTCTATTTTAAATGATATTGAATATACAATTCTAAAACTTATTTTAACCTAAAGTGTGCACGACTATGAGAATCTAATGTGGTAAGTAATTAGTTAGATTTCACAACTTCCATTCCCTAAATATAATCAAGCATTCTCGTAAAAGAGAACCAACCTTGTATGAATTCAAGTGTTGGTGCCATTAGAGGTTAATCCTACAAGAAAAATCCAAAATAATAAGTGATTCTTTTTATATTTGACTAAAATTTTAATTAATTTACAATTTAAGTTTTTTTGTAGAGCTGCCATATTCATTTTTTTCGTCATTTGTCAAACTTAATATTTTTAAAAGTTAAATTAAAAAATTAAAAAGAACAATAAAAAAAAAAATAAAAATAACTTTCAAAAAGAAAACAAAGCTTAAATATAAGATAATATAATACAAATACGTTTAATTGAGTTGAAGTTGCTGAAAACACAAGAAAAGGTGTGGGGGGTGGCGATAGTATCGTGATATTTTTCAAAACATCGATAGATCAAGCTGGCTGTTACCCATCGATAGTTTGTGCCATCGATAGTTTGCCAGCCCTACCACTACGTTTTTCGGAGGCGTAATTTACACTCGAAATTTCTGACAAATTCCAACAAAGGGATAAATGCAAGAGCAAAAGCAGCGCTTGAAATATGAGTCGAAAGGGAGCGAGAGAACAAAATGATATTTCGCTGATCATCGGGACGCTGCCGAAACGTCTGCAGAACAAAATCGCGGCCAGCTGCAGCCACGCAGCAGCAGCAGCAACAACAACGAAGGCGTTGGAGACTGAGACGGAAAACGCTGAGAATGCGGAGCCAGTTGCTCCAAGGCCAGGTGAGTGTGTGCGTGTGTGGATGACGCATTATCACAACGTCTAACGATTTCACCACCAGCCACCAGTCGCCACATCCTGAGCAATGCAGCGGTTGCAGGGAAGCCCAATCCCCACCAGGCGGTGGCTCCTCCCGTTTCGGTTACCAGCGGGAAAGTGCCGAGGGAATGTGGAATTCCAGGCATCCTGCGCGTGGCCACCTCGTTGGCAGCAGGAGAAGGAGGAGGAGGGAACAAGAAAGGCGGTCACAATGCCCGTCGCAAGTGTCGCATCTTTGGCAAGGACAAGGAGCACGCTCCGCAGTCGCCAGTGACGCGCACCCGCCTGACCACCGAGCATCCGGATTGGTTTGAGCCGCTCTTAAGTCTTCCCAATGCCAAAAACATAGTCCAACTATACGATCAGCTAATGGTTCTCAATCAAAGAAATCTTATACTGATAGTAAGTTTATGGAATCCTAAATAAGGCACCATTTAACACCTATAATCCCCTCTAGAACTGGAAGAACTTCTGCTACATTCACGATCAGCTTCAAGACGCCTTCAAGCAACTTCTCCTAGAGCAACTGAAGTTCGTCTGCGAGCACAAGGTCGATGTCTTCTTTTGGAAGCTGCTCTTCTACAATGTGCGGGATTACTTGAAGCGCCAGCAAACGGATCAGGCCCACGCCCACACGCTCCTCCTGATCGAGCAGGCCACCAAGTTCTATCGCCTGGCCTACGACAAGCTGATGGCCAAGTCCGTGGCCTCGAGCGCCCAGAAAGTGGTGGCCCAGCGGCTGCTCATCTGCCTGGGAGATCTTTCCCGCTATCGGGTTAACCATGTCAAGGCCACGGATTACTTGGAGGCGGCCAGGTACTATCAGCGGGCCCAGGAGCTGGTGCCAGGCAATGGAGCACCCTACAACCAACTGGCCGTCATTTCTATCTATCATGTAAGAATATAAGCTCCTTTGAGTGTACATATTGCTTATATTTATATGAATTCCCCTCAGCACAAGCGCTTCGATGCCGTTTACTACTATGTGCGCAGTCTACTGACCTCCAACTCTATACAGACGGCCAAGGAGAGCCTGCTGGATCTATTCGACGAGATTCGGCGCAAGTACGAGGAGACCGAGATGAAGCAATCGCCCATGCACTATGCCTCGCCGAAGAACCAAAAGTCCAAGCAGATGCGCAAGGAGGTGTGGATCTATCCGGATGGAATTCGACGCCTGCATCGCACCGACGACAAGGGAAACAAAGCGAAGGGCAACAAAGCCACCGTGGCCGAGGTCACGAGGTACGAGGAGATGCCCCCAGAGGAGCTGATGCCTCGCATTGTCTCCCTGTATCTTTACTTAATAGGAAAGCTCTATACAGGCACCGAGTAAGTTCACCTCGCTTGAAAGTGAAAGCTAAATAACTCCAAAATCCATTCACAGTGTGGACTCGCTATACCCGCTGCTGCGGAAACTGCTCATCCAACTGGGCGCCGCTCTTAAACACGACAACCTGTTGTCACGCTCCAAACTGCTGAAAATAGTGGCACTCAACTTGTTTGTCGTCGAGCACAACAAGCGTAAAAGTGTGTATGAATATGATAAGGCCTAATCACGGTTAAAATTCAATTCTCTTGTTTTTGTACAGCGTCACGCCGCGAGATGCGTTATCACAGCTTCAATTTTGCCAACTCATTCTTTGGACTCATGCTGAAGCAGACAAACCAGTTGCTGGCCGGTTTTGTGGAGGACTCGACGAACATTCAGTGTCTTCCTGAAGAAGAGTAGGCTTGGGAATTCCTGACCTTAAGATTTGCCTGTTGACTTTCTCTTTGTTTTTTAGTTTTACCACTGTCAACACATATCTGCAGTATGTAAAGGTCTATGTGCATTGGTTGAGCATCAATGTGGATGTTTGGGAACCCGTGAGATCAGAAGAGTATGTAGCATGTGTCCACATCTTTATCAGAATTTAAATATCAATCTTTTTCCCACAGACACTCCTTTATCGATTGCTGGGCTGAACTATCCACCCTTTTCGAGTACATTGAATGCTTGCTAGGGAAGCAAAAACTGGACAAAAAGGAAATCGCTTTGGATGAGGATATTGCCCTGAGTGGCTTCAATCCATTGGGTCGAGAAACGATGAGTAAGGATTGCCTCAAGCGCGGACCCGAACGCATTCAGTTCCTTGAACGCATCCGTAGGATTGGCCAGTTCCAGGACATCTATGCGCAGCATCAAGAGGCACTGCAGCAGCCACTGGACTCGAGCTTCACCATTGAGGATCTAAACGCAGCAATGAAGAATGCGCTGGAGAGCTTCGATGCCGAAAGTTGCGGCCTTGCGGTGAACCCCTTAAAAAATCAGAGTCAAGCCGTTGAGGAACCTCTGTGTCCCTCAACCGATGCCGATGTTTCGCAGTTGTGCAAGCTGAAAAAGGAGCTTGAAGCCAAGGCGAAAGTTAAGCAGATTTGCACCAGCAAGCTGGAGGAGATCCTAAAGTTTGTGGACACCAAGATATACATTGAAGTGCGTCCGCGCTACCTTCTGCCCGATACCAACTGCTTCATCGACTGTCTGGAGGACTTTGAGAAGCTGTCCACGGAGTTCAAGCGATATACTCTTATTATCCCGCTCACGGTGGTCAAGGAACTGGATGGTCTCTCCAAGGGCGTCAAGTTGGACTCGTATCGCAGCTCCAAGCAGACGCAGCGCATCCATCATTTCGACGAGGTGTCGTCGCGGGCCAAAAAGTCTCTGGAGTTTATCAAGTCGGCCAAGAGCAATGTGAAGTAAGCTATTGTTTTTTTTCCGGGTTGAATTGTTTATAGATTACTGATTTCTGATTACGCTTTAGTGGCGATTAGCTAATTTTGCTGATAATGTAACGACATTTCTGTTATTATTTCTATGATGTCAGAATGACTTAATATTTATTTTCATGGTTATTCAGCATTATTTTCTTTACCGATCATTTTTAATCTCTTATTTTTCTAGGTGTGCTACCACAAAGGGCTCTTTTGTGAATGCCTCGGTGTTTGCCTTGGTTGAGGAGGAGTATCTTTCCAACGACGACAAAATTCTGGCCACAGCCATGGCTGTTTCAAAGACGGCCAAATCTGAACAATGCACAGGTGAGCCTGGTTTACTTCTCGGCTTTTAAAAGCTAGACTAATAATAAAATCCTTTCCAGATGGCAAGTGCTTCATTCAAACAGAGTTAGTTCTCATCACCACCGATCGCAATCTGCGTGTAAAGGCCCTTTCTCGGAATCTGGCGGTCAGCGCGCTGGACGAGTTCCTTCAATGGGCCAAGGACTGCCGCGAATCAACCTGAAAGCCCTTTTAGTATCGCAAGTGGACCGGCTAACAATGTAAATGGACTCGCACGATCGCACGATGCGGTGCCGAGCGAGCTCGAGCTATTATATTACCTACATTACACATAAATGACTATGTAAGTCGGGGTCGGCAGATGCAGACACATCCGCTGGCCGCGAATACGTACACGACGTGGGTTCCTGAGAACTGAGGACACGGGTACACAGGCGCGGATGTTGTGGTGTTTCCCCGGGGTGAGGCTTTCTGTCGAAGCCCATCTCGCTGGCTTCCGATCATCTAATTTGTTTTTTTTTCTCACTTCTTCAAATTTATATTTTGTGACTTTCGGAATAATTAAATCAATTTGGATTGTTGTTCAATCACATTTGTTATTATTGGTTGAGTTAGAGGCAAAGATAAAATATGAAATTTAAAGATGGAATTTTAATAAAGAAAAATTTAGGAAGTGCAAAATTCATTAGATTTTTTGTGGATTAGTAAAATTGTATTAAATAGCCAAGAAATGATTTTAAAAAAGAAAAAACATTTTCCTAACATATTTGTAAATTTTAAATTTAAAGTTTTAAAAGAAATAATTTCATACATTAGATTTCAATAGATTTTTTGTGGATTAGTAAAATTGTGTTAAATAGCAAAAAAATGATTTTAAAAAAAAAAACATTTTCCTAGCATATTTGTAAACTAATTTAAACTTTTATATTTTAAATAGACTTTGTATATTATTTATTGCATCAGTGTTTAGTTTATTTGAAACTAGTTAAACGGTGTACATTACATATAGATTGTGTTGCTTTGCACTTGGTATCCTAAATATGCTCTCTTTGATGTAGAAATATAAAATCTATGCAGTATATGCAAATCTAACAATCACATTCGATTAAAATCTAACATTACAAGCGACACATAAAACAACAACTACAGCTCGTTGATCATCTATCATTGGGCATCGGTTGCGACATCATCGACATCTCAGGCATTAAATGCCCGCGACTCGAATCGGTTTAGTGATTTTTCAAATCGAATATTTCACGCAGCAAGGGCTCCACCTGGGATGGGTTAACATTCAAATAGACATTAATTATGAACTTGTTCAGACGCTCCACATCTGAAATCTTTTGGATTAGCTTGATAAACGCGTTTCTCGCCTCACAGCCAGAATAAACACTCTCCAGATATCTTCGCAGAAGATAATAGTAGGAATTCTAGGGGGTACAAAATATAAATTATAGTTCTAATCTATTTGTAGACTCAACACCCACCTGTTCCAATCTAATCACGTCTTTGTGTATCACTCGGGATCGGGCCGAGGTGAAGAGGACGATGGCACACATGATCAGGATTATGTTCTCGTCCATGCGCCACTTTTCGTCGAAGGTTGTGATGAACTTCTGGTGCTCCTCGTAGATATTTCCCTCGGCGAACTTGAGCAGGTCAGTGCGTATGTTGCCCATGTTCTCTTTGGTGTGGGGTACCTATTAAGCACAATATTATATTTTACCAATAAATTAATCAAATTTCCCAATTAATTCACCTTCCAGGCGTCGCGATCGTCGTCGTAAATCATGACCGAGCGCATTATCATCATTTCTGTGCAGCCGCCTTTGAGCAGGGCCACCTGGTCCTCCTGGCACATGTCACGGAATGCTGTAATCTTCTTGGCCATCTTGATAAGCCTCTTGATGGCCACCGCCGTCAGGTTGATCAGCTGCAGTAGCTTCGGGTTGTGGCGAGTGTCGTCGGGCTGACAAAAAATAAACAGAACGCACAGGTGGCCATTATTATCGCCATAATCGTAAAGGCTTCTCCCTGGAAGGCGGTGACTCAAGCACCGCTTATCACAGCGCCCAAACACCTGGCTGCTCCATATTTCGTCAAATTGTATCGTTTTTCCTAATTAACAATACCGAAATGTGCTAATTGCGATGGGGCGAAAACGGTAAACAGTCGCCCAAGCGACAATAAACGGCCGAATCGCCGATCGGAGACTCATGAGCGCCTGCTGGCGCTCTTGATAATGGTTGATAATGTCACAATTGGCACGCCCAGAGGCTGATAAAGCCGCTGTCTGCCCTGCTCTTGCCAGACCAGACGCTCTGATTGCAGGAAAGCCAGAAAACCTAGGGTGGCTCGCTTAATTGGACAGCAATTCGGTGGAAGAGGTGAATCATCTTTGGATATTTCTAAGGCATTTCGCCTGGGGCACCAAAGGTATAGTGGAAATGTTGACACATCTCGGAACATAAAGATAGAGTTAGTTATAAAAAAATATGTGTGTCTTGTTCAAACGACAAAATAACCACATTTGTTTACATACTCGGCTAGAAAAATAAAAAACTTTATATTGAATGGGTGTTTGTCTAGTTTTTTGGGGTCTTGGTTTAAGGCCTGCTTTTGTAATCAAAAATATAAGAGCTCTAACTAAAATTGTAGGGCTAAAACCTCTCTAAAATCTCCGGGAAAAGTTACTTATCAGTTTCTATGAATTTCTTTCTTCAATCAAGATACTTGGCAGTACAAAATCCGAGCCACCCCATCGAAAAGTGTGTTTACATTCGGGAGAGCCGCACTGCTGGGAACCCAGAAAGTGGGTGGCGGAGTCACAACACACGTTCCATCATCGAGATACGCACTGAATCACCTAGCTGGCCAGGTGCCGAATGTACACATATATCGCGCCGTTCGCACACTCCGATTAGATAAGCTGCAAACGAAAGAACGATAGGCTAATACCGTAGGGTGGCGGTGGTTACCTTAATGCGATCATCGCCCATCATCAGGGCACTCAGGTCCTCGTCCACGGGATCGTAGAGAGCCTCGCTGGCCAGCCGCAGCTCCCGCAGCTTCATCTGCTCCGCCTCGTTCAGTTCGCGATCCATTTGCGCGGTGGACGGGGCGCAGATGGGCTGCTGCAGGTGCTGCTGTTGCTGGCCGCTGCTGCCGGCTGCACTGCATCCTCCGTAAGGAGGACATCTCCTCCTTCACCCGCGACGCAGCGTGCTGTATGCTATTAAAAGCCTGATACTCGATGCGGATCACCTCGGAGAGCACGGACTCAATGGAGTTGATGCTAAAGTCGCTGTCCAAACTGGGCTCGTCGTTGTAGTTGGTCTGCATGAAGGTCTTCAGGTCGAAGTCCGGCGAGTTGGCTATGTAAGGCAACGGATGGCTACTCGATGTGCTGGGCAGATCGACGGCTAGCGGCAGCGGCAGTCGGCGAAATGGGTGGGCTATTGCCCAGCATGCTCTGGATGACGGTGTCCACCCGCTCCGCCGGCGGAGGAGGCTTCACCGCCGGCTCCTTGTCCAGCAATGGCTTGCGTTCGCCCGCCTGCTGGCCTGCGTTCGCTCCGCCGCCACTTAAAATGCGGTTGAGGATGCGCAGCGCCTCCGCCGGCGTGTTCATGAATTTGTTCATTATATCGATGGCATCCTCCGGCGAGTGCATCAGGTTCTGCATAAACTCCACCACGTCCGCGGGCGAATCGACTATTTTCGAGATAATCTCCACGCCGTCCGTGGGCGAGCTCATGAACTTGGTGAATACTGAATAGATAACTTAGATAAATAAAGTGTTTTAAAGCGATATAAGCTAAACTCCAACCTGTGAGCGCATTGAAGGGCGAGTTCATAAACTTGGAAATGATCTTGAGGGCGTCACCTGCAAAGATAAAAGGTCATAGGTCAGCGGAGAAGGCTACACACGACCAACTGAGCATTATAAACCCACCTGGGTAGTCAATCAAGTGCGACACCAGCTTCAAAGCGTCCTTTTGCGAGCTGATCACCTTCTCCATCACCGAAATAGCCTCCTTCTGGGTGCGCATCAGCCGGTTGATGGCCTGCGAGGCCCGATCCGGATCGGAAACGATCTGGTCCACGATCTTCTCGGCCGTCATCTGCAGCGGATTGACCTGGGAGCTGGCCTGTCCGCCGGAGCACCCATTTGCCCCGCTGTCCGCGGAGCCGCAGCTCTGCGAGTCCTGCGAGCCGGAGTAGAGCTCCAGGTTGCTGCTGCTGCTGTCCGCCGGGGCTTTGTGATCTCCTCCGTCGCCTTCGTTATCTCCATCGCCATCACCGCCATCCGTGCCGTTCTCCATGAGGCGACGCTTGGCCCGATTGGTCTCGATCTTGCGCCGCTTGATCAGCTTGTCCTCCTCGGACATGATGTTCTCGCTCTTCATCCCGATGTCCAGGCACTTGCGCAGGCGGCACTTCTGGCAGAAGCGGCGGGTGACCACGGTGATGTCGCAGTTCTGGTTGAAGGGGCAGGTGAACTGCTTCTTGGCCAGCGCGTTCCGCCGGAAGAAGGCCTTGCAGCTCTCGCAGGTGACCGCGTTGAAGTTGTAGCCCAGCGCCTTGTCCCCGCACACCGCGCAGTTCTTCGGCGGCGACATTTCGACGGCGGCAGCTTTGCAGCTTTCAATTGGGGGGCCCTCTGATTGATTTTTTAATTGCCCTTCCTGGTTGCCTTGGTGGTGTGATGGAGCAGCTGTTTCTCGCGGTGGAGGAGGAGGAGGAGGAGCTGGGTGGCTGGTTGGATTGGTTGTAATGTGCGGCTGGCAGTCCGCGAATCAAAACAAGTGTCCGCGCGACAGCATAGCAGTTAGTACCCACGTCAAACGCACGAATTGCACGCAGAATTCGGCAGCTCGCGTTATCACCACATATTTTAATGAATTAGTGTCCGTCCGAGCGCTCCAGCCCAATCCCAATAACAACAAGCGACGTGCCCGGGCGAATGGCAAACGCAGTTATGAGCAATGCACTGGGAACAAATAGTTAGCTTCTGATTTAAAATCTATTGAAATATTTGGAATAAAGATCTAAAAATAAGTAGTCCTAATATTAAATGTATATTTTTGTGATATTTATAACTATTTAGGGTAAACAAATTGCATATTATTGTCCATGATATCTGAGAGATGCAATAAACAGTGAATTTTATTTGCACTATATAAGTTTAAGTTTAAAGTAAATTAATATTTATTTTTATTTATGGAAATTTAGTAAATTTTACTTTAAAAAAATAAATAAATATTAATAAAGTTAATTTAATTCCCATCTTCAATGTTAGAAAATAGTTCACAGAGGATTTTTCTCAGTGCAGCTATCGGCCCTGCCCGACGACAGTTATCGACCCTGCCAATCGATAGTTCACCAATCGGAGTTCACAGCCGGAGATTTTGCTAGAAATAAAATTAAACCATAAATTAATCAATTAAAATGAACCGAGTGAAGACCACGCAGTCCAAGACGGGCGAGATCATCGCCTACAGCGAGGGGGCCATCCGGAACAACATATCCGCGGTGGAGTACTGCCGGACATCGATGGCCGCCATCTCGGGCTGCGCTGCGGGTAATTGGAATTAATTTGAGGGGCTCCACTAAATTAACACCCCCTTCTAATTTGCAGGCATTCTGGGACTGAGTGGAACGCTGGGCTTCCTCTTCTACTTCCTGTCCGTCTTCGTGCTCTGGATAATGGTGCTCCTCAAGTCGGGCACCCAGTGGCGCAAGTTCTTCATCAACCGCAGGAATCTGCTGACCAACCAGTTCATGGGCGGCCTTTGCACCTACGTGCTCTTCTGGACATTCCTCTACGGCATGGTTCACGTGTATTAGCGCATTTATAACTTATATAGCGAAATAAACATAGGATCTTTGGTTTAACACAACCCATTATCAGGTTTGTACCGGCGAGGCAGCGGCCGCCGTGCCGGAGCAGTCGCACCACGGCGTTTTATTAACATCACAATCGAGCAAAATGTTGAGGATGGTCACCGGCACCTGGTCCACGACCATCTCGTGCACCTTGAGTATTTTGTACTTTACGTTGTCCAGGCCCGTCTTGTGGTCCCGCTTGCGGGTCATCTCCTTCTGGTTGAAGCACTTCTGCGTGTCCCGCTTGCGATGATGACGGTTGTGGATATGGCTGGGGGGAAAAAACCACTCATTATATCTAGTAATTTTCATTCCTGAAAGCTGATCCCACCTAAATGTATCATTTGTGCCAGTCTTAATGTTCTGCGGCCGCGTCACCTGGAGTCCTGCATCCCGGATGCGCACAAAGAACTCATCGTCCTCCAGTCCCCAGCCCCAGTACTGGTTGGACATGCCGTTCATCTGCTGAAAGTGCTCCCGCCGCACCAGCAAGATGCCCCCGACAAAGTTGTCATAATGATACTTTGGATGCAGCTTCGGGCCGGCAATGTGCAGCGGGCCCAAGCTGCTGGGATACTCGTAGCGCAGATCGTCGTTCAACGGCAACAGGTCCACGTCGTGCATGGCTATGTAGTCGTACACGTCGCTGGCAAACTGGAAGCCCACGTTGATGAGGGAGGCGCGATTGAAGCGGAACCTGTCCACCTGGTTCAGCACGAAGATGTGGTGCGCCACGCCCTGGCGCCGCAGGAACTTTGTCATGTGCGGCACGAACTGGAGGAGCTCCTCGAAGCGATCCCGGAACGGCACCAGCAGTGCCATCTTGTGGGGAGATGCACCATGGTCATGGGGCTGCTGTAGCTTCTCCGCCGACGGCTGCTTCTGCACCACCGATCCTCCACCTTCACCGGCGCCCATCAGCCTGCCCAGCGGATTGGACAGCGGACACACGCAGTCTATAAAAAGAGCGGTTCCGGATCAGTATTTATATTTATTTATTTATATCACATTTCGCATACGCACCCGAGCCCAGCGGCATGAAACTGAGCACCGCAATCCCGCCCAGGCAGAAGGACAGGCCGCAGACGAAGAGCCAGTTAATGGTGGATATGTTCACCATTTGGAGGAGCTTATACTTAGAGGAGGCCTAGAGTTTAAACGGATTCCAGGCCATAGGCTAAATGTTATAAACTATTTTGCTGCCGGTTGCAAGTATGACCGCTGCTGGAAAAAATGCCAAAAATTGGAGATATATATTCGATTATTGGGTTCGAAAAAATCGAGTTATTCTTCAATATGGTGGGAAAAAACGTTTTTTTAAATTTCCAAAAATATTATGGTTGAATTATATTACTTTATATTTTGTTATGTTTATTTGCTTTAAGCATCTTGCCTACACCAGCGTTTTTATTGTTCTAAATAAGAAAATAAATGCCAATAGATTGCCAATACAATACGTACTGTTTTGAACAGCTAACAAAGTTAATTAATTGATTACACCTATCGCTAAGATTGCGAAAATCAAAATTTTCCTCCTATTTTCCTAAATTTTTCGAAAAATTGTCAAAAATTTAAATTTGAGCGAGGTATGAAATTCCATGTTTAGTCTATTAGATCCTTTCTTTCGCCGAAAATATAGATGTTTTTTGAAAAAATGGCTTTTTGTACAAAAAATACAGATCATGACTTTATTTCTTTGTATTTGTTGTTGTAAATTGGCCAACAATTTGATCTTATACACCCCCTTTTCCTAATTAGTGACTCCTCCGTTTTACATTTCAATAAAAAGCGTTGTATTTATTTATTAGATTACAAAGAATAGCTGCATATAAATTATGATAAGGTATGGAAACACAAGAGCTGTTCTTAAAAGACATATCAAATAAATAAGATCTAAATTTAAATTTATTTATTTATTTTTAAAATTAAATACTTAGGGCTACAACTATCTTTAGGGATTATATAAAACTAATTGATGTTCGTAATCGTTCAGCGTGGTTGGGACGACGCGCGAAGATTACGGCGTATTGCTAAGGCTCAAGTGACTGAAGATCCCTGCGATTCGTTCTATTCTACGACCAATAAAGTAATCACCAGCGCGGCAGCTGGTAGTTAAAAAAAATAGTTTACAAAGGTAACTCCTCCTATCATCGATCTGTGCGATCTTCAGTCAGTCGAGCAGTAGCCATAGTTTATTTGCGGTTCCGTATTTAGTTTCCGTTTCCGTTTCAGTTTCAGTTGATCTAAAAATTCTATGTAGACTACGGTTTGGCCACCTCGTTTGCACCTGGCACTGGTGCACAAGTGCGCAGGTGCAGCGGGCGAAGTACAAATTCAATCCGTTAAAACTATGCAATTCGTGCGTTCGTTTGTAAAATTGCTATAAAAACTAGTTCGTTCGTTTCTCCACTCTACACGTTGTTTTTTTCTTTTTGTATATAAAAGTATGAAAGCTTGGAATAGTTCGTAGAAGATACAGTTTCTCAACTCAACTCAACTCAATTTGATTCAACTGGTCCGATCCGATCCGATCTGATCTCATTTGATCGGGTTGTGCGCGTGTTACAGGCGGATTCCGTTGCTCTTGCAACAAAAGAAGACTAGAAGCAACAATTATACACAAAAATAATAATGTTTAAAATAAGGTGACTAAAATACTATAAAAGCGCATTGGAGAAGAGTGAGCCGCCGGAGGGGCAAGTGTGCGTAGAATCCGATCCGGCGGCCGAATGCCGTGGCTTCGTAACGCCATTGATTGCGATCCGGTTCCGGAATATTATCGCTATACATATTGCATGGTGTATTTACTATATGTGAGAGTCTCCTGAAAGCGATTGTATGGCGGCGGGCACAATGAACGACCTTACAAGGCACGCGCTACGTCGGCTGCTGTGGTGGTGGCTATATGTCCTGTCACTAGGGTCACAAGCCCAAAATACTAGTACACATACAAATAAGTAATCGTTTTAAGTGAGCGCGTCTAAATTAATTGCACCTATACTATGTATACAGTACAATATCACTGGTTGCTTCGTCACCGTAACCTAATCCGAAACAAGTGGGCGTAGTCCAATTGAAAGAGTGCGAATTGCGAATGTCGGCAAACCCAAATGAACACTATTGCATCTCTGGTCCTATTGCTTTTGGCTTGGCTTGGCTTGGCTTGGCACCTATTTTCTAGTTTCTAGTTTCAAGATTCTGTTTCTGATTTCTGGTTTGTGGTTTCTGGTTCCTGGTCTCTGATGGTCTAGTGGTGGCTGATCTATATTGGCGAGTGGTGCTATCTGGGCTGGTTGGTTCGTCGGTTCGTGATTGTTGTCTGCAGTGCTTAAGAATTAGTTAAATTATATTTAGTGAGCATGGCTGGTGGTTCATCTCTTGCGTCCCGACGCCACGGCGGCCATCACCTGCTGCATGGTGGGTTCTGGGACGCACTGCTGGGGATCGCACTTCATCTTGCCGTCACCGCCGCAACTGAAATGGGAGATGAGATTTAGGTTAATTATAGGAAATTTTTTTTTTTTTTTATTGAATTTAGAATTTGTCACACCACTAAATGGTATAGTTTATAGGGAAATAAGCAATGCTTTCATTCAGGTGGGAAATAGTTTTGGTAGTTTGTTTTTGAGAGATCAGATCCAGGTTAATTATAGGGGATTTTTTTTTTTAGAATTTAGAATATGTTACAATCACTAAATGATATTGTTTATAGGGAAATAGGCAATGATTTCATTCAGGTGGGAAATAGTTTTTGTAGTTTGTTTTTGGGAGATGAGATTCAGGGTAATCATAGATGATTTTTTTTTTGTTATTAAATTTGGAATCTGTCACAACCACTAAATTATACAGTTTATAGGGAAATCAGCAATGATTTCATTCACGGGACTAGCACATTAATGTACAAGTTTAACTTGTAGTGCTAGAAATTTAAATAAATAAAAAAATAAATAAATAAAAAAAAATAATTTTGTATCTCCCATCCTGATTTTATAACCAGTGGTTGCCAGCAGAATCAAACCATGCAATAACAGGTTTTACATGCTGTGTGTGAGTGGCAGAGCTCCGGCAGTTTTTAAAAGATCTTTCATTGCTTTGTACTTACGTGCAGCTGATGCAGGGACCGCTCGTGGACTCGATCTGCTCGCCCACGCGGTAGGAACGGCCGTTGATCAGGCAGCCGGTGTGCTTCACCGCCTCGCCGTGCGAGTAGTGGAGGAAGTGGGGCGGCAGGGTGGTGCTGGTGGTGGTCGTGCTCGTGGTGATGTTCAGCACGGCGGCCATGGACACGGGGCACTCGTAGCGCGGACAGCAGAAGCCGGAGATGGGCTCCTCGTGGCAGCCGGCGATTGGCGGCGGGCACGACTGCTGCAGACAGATGATGTCGCTGCGGAAGCAGAAGCAGAAGTCGCAGGGATCGTCACGTGGAATCTGCTGGGCGGACACGTAGAGCTTGCCGGCGTAGCGGCAGGTGCCGGGTCCGAAGACCTCCTCCTCGTCGTACTCGTCCTCGTATTCGGGGGCGTGGCCGTAGGGCGGCGGGGTGATGGGCTGTTGCTGTTGGCTGGCCACCGTCGTCGTGGATGGAGCGGCGGTGGTAACAGGAGCCTCTGTGGTGCTGGAACTACTCAATTTGGCGGTGGTGTTCTCTTCATCCTCCTCGCCAACGCGATCATCGATGGCTGGCGCCTTGGTGGAGCTGCTGGGCAGGTGTGGGAACAGTGGGTGACCAGTGGTGGGAACAGCCTCTTCACTTGGCTGAGGAATCTCCGAAACAACGGCGGGAACCTCGGGCTCCTCCTTCTCAGTCTCCTTGCTCTCGTCCTCCTTGTCGGCTGCCTCCGTGACTGGAGCGTGCTCCTCCTCGGACTCAACGGACTCCTCTGCCTCCTCGGTGGAATCCAAGCTGGGCTTAACGACTGGCTCCGGAGTGGTCTTCTCGTCAGTAGTCTCTGGCTGTTCAGTGGACTTCTCTGGCACCTCCTTCTCGACCTCTGGTGCTGCGGTTTCTGGCACAATCTCCGATTCGGTGACTGGAGATTCTGATGGAACGGCGGGCGCTGCAGTGGGTGGCTTCAGTTTGGCATCAGCTGTGGGCTCATCAGTGCTATCCTCAGCATCGTCGACAGCTGATTCGGTGCTCTCTTCACCAACGTCCTCAGAAACAGTAGGCTTCTCGCTGCTTGGCTCAACCACGTCGAAGACAGCAGGAGCAATTGAAGCAGGAATCTTCTCATCATCCAGTGGAGCTGAGGTTGATGGAATCTTTTCGTCATCAAGGGGAGCTGAGGTTGATGGAACCTTTTCTTCATCAAGGGGAGCAGCGGTAGATGCAATCTTCTCATCATCCAGAGGAGCAGCGGTAGATCCAATCTTCTCATCATCCAGAGGAGCAGCGGTAGCTGGGATCTTGTCTTCTTCCTGAGGAGCAGCGGTAGCTGGGAGTTCGTCAGCATCCTGGGGAGCCTCTGAGCTCGGAGTCTTATCAGCATCCTGGGGAGCGGTAGTAACTGGAGTCTTATCAGCATCCTCAGGAGCCACGGTAACTGGGGTCTTTATCAGCATCCTGGGGAGCCTCTGAGCTGGGAGCCACGGTAACTGGAGTCTTGTCAGCATCCTGAGGAGACACAGTAACTGGAGACTGGTCTTCATCCTCGGCGGATGGGGACGCAGACTCATCGGCGGCATGCGGATCAATGGTCTGGGACATGACTTCTTCCATGGGCTTCGTGTCGATATCAACGGCAGAAGGAACACCCACTGAAGGAGTAGTGGAATCAGCAGTGGAATCAGCGGCAGGCGATGCAACGGTGGTGGGAACCACAGGAGCCTCGGTTTTGTCTTGTTCCTCATCCTCTGGGGCGATGGGAGAATCGGTGGACACCTCAATGGAAGTCTTGCTGTCGTCCTGAGGAGCAGCCACTTCCTTCTCATCGGCGACCTCGGGTTGAACAGTGGTGGCATCCTTAGTTTCATCGTCCTCGGGAACAGCAGGCGAAGCTGGGCTGGCAGCAGTGGTGACATCAATCTCCAGCTTCTTCTGAGGTTCCGTGCTGGATTCCTCCTTGCTGGGAACGGCTGTGGAGGCTTCTTCGCTGGGTCCGGAAGTTGCGGGGACAGTCTCATCGATTGGTTGCTCTTCAGATTCTTCGATGCTGGGCTTCGTTGTGACCTCCACTTCTTGTTCATCCTGGGTAGGCTCCTTTTCGGATGCTTCAGGAATCTCAGCAGATGGAGCGGTGGTTGGCTTGATCTCTTCTCCCTCTTCCTCGACAGGCGAGGCAGTGGTTGCATCCTCCTCCTTTTCGGTTTCTCCGCCAGCAACTGGAGCAGATGTGGACGAAGGTACTGCCTCCTCTGACAAATCAGGCACTTGGGTAGCAGACTCAGGTTTCTCTTCTTCCACGGGCTTCTCTTCTTCAGTGGCGGGCACCTTGTCAGTGGAAGATGGTTCAACTTCGAAAGGTGTCTTGGTCTCATCACCTCCAGCTGCTTGTGGTGAGGCAGTGGTGACTTCTGGGCTCTCGTCTTCCTCACTGGAAACTGAGGGAATCTTTTCGTCGGAAGGAGCGAAGGTATCCTCATCGGCTGCCACAGGGGCAACGGTTGTAGGCTTCTCGGCTTCAGTTGGCAGCTCGGTGGAGACTTCGGGAATCTTCTCAACTGGAGTCTGGGACGTGGGTGAAGGCAGCTTGTCTTCTTCAGCAGATCCTTCAGTAGACGGCTCGATTTCTTCAGAAGATTCAGTAGATCCCTCCTCGGGAGCCTCAGTGGAGGCAGCCTGAGCTTCAACCTTATCTTCGGGGGTGGCAATCTTGGCAGGAGCCTCAGTGGTAATCTCCTGTTCTGTGGGCTTCTCCTTCTCCTCTTCCTCAGAAGGTTTTTCTTCACCAGTTGGTTTCTCCTCCTCTGGTTTCTCTCCCTCAGTTGGCTTCTCATCCTTCTCAGAGATGGGAGCGACTGTGGTGGCCTCCTCATCGATCTCAGCAGATGGGATTGAGGTGACAGCAGGTTCCTTCTGGTCAACACTTGGAGCACCAGTAGTTTCATCCTCCTGTTTAGTTCCGGTCTCAGTCGAAGATTGGGGAATCTCAGCGAGGACTTCCTCGGGCAGTCTCTGGATAGCGGGTACTTCAGCAGCGGTCGTTGGAGCAGTAGTGGCACCAACAGCTTCCTCTTCCTCCTCTGGAGTCTTGGCAGGAGCCTCGGGTTTCTCTTCGGCCACCTGAGATGGAGTCAGATCCGTGGATGTTTCCTTAACCTCCTCTTCAGAAGAATCTGGAACAGAGGTAGCGGTTTCAACACCGGTCTCCTTCTCTAAATCTTCATCAGGCTTGGCAACAGGAGCAGAAGTGGCAGTGGGTTCCTCATCGGAAGTGATGCTGCTTGTTGGAAGCTTGTCATCACCTGGAGCAACGGTTGTGGGCACTTCAGATTCAGGAGATTCAGTGGATGGCTGGGCAGACTCTGGCTTAGCAGGAGCAGCAGTGGTTGTACGATTAGACTCAGGCTCGATCTCATTTTCAGCTGAAGCAGATGTAGAGGTCTCGTCTTCAAAGGGCTTCTGTTCTCCTTCGACTGGTTTCTCTCCATCTTCGATGGGTTTCTTTTCATCTTCTTCCTTCGTCTGGAACTGGGGTAGTAACTGCGGCAGGCTGTTCTTCTTCAAAGATATCTTGGGGTAGCTTGGGCAGATTGGACTCCTCTTCATCGCCAACAGCTGGGGCAACTGTGGTGTCCTTTTCTCCGGCCTCAACGGTCTTTTCAGTGCTCGGGGTCTTGTCCTCATCAGCAGACACAGGAGCACGAGTAGCATCACCTTCGATTTCATTGTCAGCCTCGGAAGTCTCATCGGAGGTTTCCTTTTCAACTTCAGCGCTTGGTTCAGTGCTGATGTCGGCTTCAGTGGAGCTCTCATCCTCGACTGGTTTCTTCTCGGGCTGCGTTGGGGCAAGAGTGGGTAGAGGAGGTCCTTGGATGTCTGGCTTCTGGGTGCTAACTTCCAGTTCGCTTTCAACGGGCACAGAGGTGGCGGGGACGATATCTTCATCGCTAGCTGGTTCGGTTTCATCAGCAGCAGAAGTCTTCGATGGAGCAACAGTAGTGATCTTGTCAGATTCTTCAATCTCTTCTCCAGCTGGAGCGCTAGTTGAAACTTCAGGAATCTTGTCGGATTCTGGGGCCTCAGTGGCTGAGGTTGGTTCCTCAGCCTCTGGCTTCTTGTCCAGATCAGCAGTTGGCAGTTCAGTCGAGGTCTCTGGGGACTCCTTCTCGGGCTGAGCAGTGCTAGCAGGGATTTCGGGTTCTGGGATTGGCTCAGCTTCACTGGGTTCCTTTTCATCGACTGGCTTGGGCTCTTCTTCACTTGAAATAGGTGCAGATGTGGTGGCCAATTTATCGTCAGCCTCCTTCTCGGCATCGTCGGCAAACTGGGATGGAGTGGAAGCCTCTGGCTGCTCAGTGGCTGCCGCGGATTCACCTTGCTCCTCCTCGGGTTTGGGTTCCTTTTCAAGTGGTTTCTGGGTTTCCTCTTCGATTTCACTAGCCGGAGTGACAGCAGGCGAAGGCTTCTCCTTCTCCTCTGAATCTTCAACTGGTTTTTTATCCTCTTCGGACTCTTCAACTGGTTTCTTATCCTTCTCGGATTGATCAATTGGCTTCTTATCCTCTTCGGATTCTTCAATTGGTTTCTTGTCTTCTTCAGACTCATCAACTGGTTTCTTATCTTCCTCGGATTCTTCAATGGGTTTCTTATCCTCTTCGGATTCTTCAACTGGTTTCTTATCAACCTTAGCAGTTGTAGCTTCATCCACCTGAGGAACAGAGGTCACTGGCACGATCTCTTCCTCGGGCTTGACATGAGAAAGAGGCAGTTCAGTAATACCAGATGGCATGCCGACATCCTCGGGAATTTGCTCGGTGCTGATCTCGGAGACATCCTCGTCAATCTTGTCCGCGGGCTTGGCAGTAGAGTCCTGCTCCTTCTCAGCGCTCTCAGTGCTCTCATCACAGACGTAAGTGGGACAGCAACCATCCACAAGATCGGCAGCCACGGTACATTTCTCCAGGTTCTCGGGCAGCTTGCACTCCATCTGTTGGCAGGCCACCAGGCTGCTGATGCATCGGCAGGAGACGTCGCAAGGAGCGGTGGCAGGAACGATGGTGTTGTTGGCATAGGTCTTGCCCTCCACCAGGCAATCGCCTTCGCCGGGAATAACAGCGGGCAGATCCATGACGGGCAGGGGTTCGGCAGAGGAGCTCTGATCCTCGGGCTTCTCAGTCTCGAAGTCGTTGCGATTGGCAGTGCTGGATGGGGTTTCTTGGGGCACTGGAGTGGTCTTAGCTGGTTCCTCTTCGACAGAGGGCTCGGTGGCAGCTCCCAAATCTTCCGCAGAATCCTTATCTCCAGCGGGAGGCAGATAAACAGAGGTTGGCTTATCTGTAGCGGCTTCATCGCTGGTCTCGGGCTGACTGGTAGCGGTTTCGGCATCGACAACAGGTGGCACATGATCAGATTTGACTGGGAGTTCAGTGCTGGTCTGTTCCTCATCCTTTTCGGGCACCTCTTGTTTGTCAACAGGGCTGGCAGTAGAGGATTCGATTTCCTCGGCCTCAGTAGAGGACTCCTCCTTAGGCTCCTCGGTGGTTGTGGTCTTTGCAGTTGTGCTCTGGACAGCATCTTCGACTGGCAAATCGGTGGCATCCTGTTCAACCTCCTCGGGTTCCTTGTCTTCGGGAGTGGCCTCGGTAGCCTCGCCGGCTTCATCCTTGTCGCCAGCTCGGGCAGGTGCATTGCTAGTGGTTTCATCGGAAGTCTCCTGGACACCTTCGGTAGAGGAAGCAATTCCTGGAGCACTGGTCGAGCTGGGGAGGAGGTCACCCTCTTCCACAGGCAACTCGGTTGATTCTTCGGGTTTCTCTCCCAAAGTCTTTGGTGTGGTGGCCTTGACAATCTCCTCTTCGGCACTGACATCTTCGGTTGGAATGGGTGTTCCGGCAAGGGGTTCTTCTTCCTCGGTTTCAGCGATTGGTGTTGTGGGTTTGGCGAAGTCCTCCACCTCTTTAACTGGAGTTTCCGTGGCGGTATCTGGTTCCTTGTCGCCTTCGACATCGGCTTTAGGAGCTGAAGTGGTGGCCTTGATGACTTCCTCTTCACCCTCGCTACTTGATTCTCCGGCAGGTGTGGTTGCCTTGACGATCTCTTCTTCGCTGATCGGTTCTCCAGCAGGCGTAGTTCCCTTGGCGACCTCTTCCTCGCTGGGTTCTCCAGCAGGAGTGGTTTCCTTAACAATGTCCTTTTCGGGCTCACTGCTAACTTGTCCAGCAGGCGTGGTTTCCTTAACGATCTCCTCCTCTCCTTCGCTGCTGGATTCTCCGGCAGGAGTGGTTGCCTTGACGATCTCTTCTTCTTCGATGCTGGGAGAAATAGTTCCAGGAATGATCTCCTCTTCACCCGCAATGCTGGCTTCTCCAGCAGGTGTGGTTGCCTTGACAGCCTCCTCTTCTCCCTCGCTGCTGGCTTCCTCTGAGGCTTCAGTGGGCTTGGCTGGTTCCACATCATCGATGGCTGATGGAGCTTCAGTGGGCTTGCCTTCTTCCTGTTCCTCACTCTCTTCGGGAGCTGGGGTGGCTTCCTCTTCCGTTTCTCCCACCGCCGGGGCAGAAGTGGGTTTGATTTCCTGTTCTTCGTCACCGCTGCCTTCGGTAGGCTTGGATTCCGGTTCCTTCTCATCACTGGCCACTGGAGCGGAAGTGGGTTTGCCCTCCTCTTGAGTTTCCTCTGGAGCCGCCGTGGTGACCTTGACATCCTTCTCCTCTTCGCTACTTCCTTCCTCAGCGGAGGTGGGTTCTTCGCTTGTCGTGGGCTTGACATCCTCTTCCTCCGTTGGCGTGGCGGTGGTGGCCTCGACCACTTCCTCCTCGGGACTGGCCTTAGCTGGAGCGGAAGTGCTGACCTTGATGAGTTCATCCTCGGTGACTTCCTTCTCGGGAATCTGGGCAGGCTCTCCGCTACCCTCGGGCTCTGGAGTAGTGACCACCTTGACGATCTCCTCCTCGGCGGCTTCGGTAGACGACTCCTTGGTCTCCTCAGTGGACGACGGCACATCGATCCTGGAATCGGAGGCAATGCCGGCGGTGGAGGACTCGGGTTCGAAGGAGAAGTCCTTCTCATCGGTGACCGTCGTGCACTGGTGCCGCCGTGGTAACCTTCTGCTCCTTCTCATCCTCCTCCTCGTCTTCAACCTCACCGCTTCCCAGTTCTGCGGACCGGAATATCGGTAGCAGTCTCCTTCTCCTGATCCTTCTCCTCGTCGTCGATGTGCTCCTGCAGATCCACATCCTCCTTGGGAATCTCGGCGTGAATGCCCTTGGCTGGCTGCGTGGTGATCTCAACGATTTCGGTGGTGGCACTGTCGTCCTCGCAGACGTAGTTGCTCGGACAGCACTCGCCCTCGGCGGCTGGCATCGCCTTGCAGGACTTTCCGTTGGCCGCCATCATGGGCACCTCGCACTCCTGGACGGCGCAAACGATGTCACCACGCATGCAGTAGCAGTGCTCGCAGGCATTCTTGCCCTTCAGCGAGGCTCCGTCGGCGTAAGTCTCTCCGTCGTGGATGCAGTCCATCGTGGTTGGTGGCGTCATGGTGCTCTCCAGGATAAAGCCAGTGGTGGGTCGCACTGTGGTGGTGGTCGTAGTGGTCGACTGGTCCACAAAGTCCAGCTCGTTTTCGTGGTCTAAGGGGGGTATTTCATTTTGTTACTCCCGCGAATTCTTCAGATTCTTATTTTCCTTCTCCAACTTACCGCAACTGTAGCGCACTGGACAGCAGGATCCCTTGTTGTAGATGGGCAGGCAGCCATCCACATGCAGTGTGCACTCCTGCATGACGCACTTGGTCTGGTTGTTGATGCAATAGCAGAGTTCGCAGGGTTTATTCGGGTTCGATGGCACCTGGGCGCCCTCCGGGTAGAACTTCTCCTCGATGCTGCAGCCGAACTTCTCGGGGATGCTCAGTTCGGTTCCAGGTTCCGGCGAGTGATAGGGCACATCCACGGGTACTAAAATAGAGGTTACAGATTAATAACCCCTGTAAACTCAAGGGAAACCCCTAAAGAACTCACCTTCTGGGCAGGTGATGATGGGACAGCACTGGTCCTCCCGCTTCTCCACGATGCAGTCGTGGCCAATGGGCTTGGTGAAGGGGCAGACGCGCAGGTAGCACATCAGCATGCGATTGTGGCAGGTGCAGTTGAGGCACGGCTCATTGGTCATGATGCGGTCGCCCTCCTGGTAATGCGCATAGTTGTAGTAGCAGCCCTCTGCAAGAAGAAAGAACGGATAGTTCGAGAGTGAGCTCTTGGAATCTGGGCCGCAGCCTGGGAAAATGGGTTTCCCGAAACAATGAACCGCTTTTCTGGCTAATAAATTCCAGGCATTAGTTATGCAAGCGGGCCATCCATTCTATAATCATATGCGATTTTCCTCGTGATGTGTGATTTGTGCTACTGTGTCGTTTGGGCCATAAATCGGGGGCTTAGCGCCAACAGTCGGGCTGTCATAATATACATATAGCCTTAGCTATAGACAAATTTTATTGCTCATCAGTGTCAAGTGTCGCGAGTCTTAAATATGTGTCCAGTGTCTCTAATTTAGTGACGTCCCCACCCGCAATAAATTTAACATCACATCATTAACACGTTAAGCGCGCCAGTTTCCCCGCGACTTCTGTGAACCGGCTAAACGGTTTTTTGATTGAAATTGGCTTTGGCTCTTTCGGTTGGGGTTTCTTTGCTCACGTTTACAGCATAACTCGTAAAAAGGTAGCGTGTCTCTCTTCACACTTCGGCTTAAGCCGCCTTTTATGACAGCGATTGGCTTGATAATTGGGCCCCGATTAGCGGCTTATGACAAAATGGGTAGCTTTCGTGTATAATTAACCATTTAGGCTCCAAATCAATCAAAATTGATTAAATAAATAAAAGAAAACCGGGAGATTGAGTGCTCTATCGGTAAATATATAAAAATCCCAGGGTGCCATCAAATCGTTCACTTCCGCATTGTAGAGCGAAAATGTAATCACCATAAAAACAGATCTGAATGCACTTTTATTAGGCTCCTGTTCGTCGATGGTTATGGCCGCCAGTTAATCAGCTTCCACGCTCTTAGACTTTTTTTTTTAGACTTACCCGAATACTGTTGGATCTCCGTATATTCCTGAACCGGGGCTGCAATGGGAAAAGGTAGAAGGAATCTTTATTATTTAATGAAATGCCATACTTGCTGGTTCCCCCCATTACGGCGGGAATTTTACGATGGCCATATCCGTTAGCCATCGCTGTTGCCATCGCTATTGCCATGACCATAATAAATTAATTTATCCATTGCCGCGAATGCCGAACTCTAATTGTGCCAGCATGCAATTGAAATTGGCCTGCGTAGGCCAGCTTCTGCCAGCTTCTCTTAGCCTTGATAGCCTTGTCCGGCGTGATAACAGGGTCTCAAAAGCCTTAAGAGCCAAAGCCAAATTGCAGCAGCAACATCTTGGCCTTTGTATGCGTGCAACGTGTTATTACCACATAATCAAAATGCAGCCTGGCTTGGCTGGCAAGACCGGCAAAAATGGTACGTAGTGGCCATTCTGGCCAAGAAACCCGGCTGCGTGTGTCCCACACAGCACACAGCTTGCCTGGCCCCCTAGGAAAAATGGCTCAAACAAATTGTCTAAGCTGACAGTTGGCCAGGAAGGCCAGTTGTTGCTGCTGCTCTTGCTGTGCTGCTGCTGCCACTTGTTGCTGCAGAAATGATTTGACAAATTGCTGTTTTATGAATTGCTGTGCTAGCGGCCTCAACTTTGATTAATTGCGTCTAGTTGAAGGGTTGACAATTTCTCGAATATTTCACATTTTAATTTCCGCATACCTGGGGTGGCCAGTGGACTGCAATGACTCGACTGCAATCGGGATCCACATTTAAATCGAAGGCAAAAGGCAAACGGCACACAAAACCTGGCCCATACAATTTGGCAACAAATTGCTGGCGAAAACAACAATGAAAATCCTAACGGCAAGTGCTCATAAGCATGAATTTGGCCGCAACCGAGGGGCTAGAATCCAGTCACCGAACGGCAGCCACAAATCAGAGTAGCAATTTCGAACCGAGGTGAAAACAGGGGGGATACAGGGAACCCAAGGAGCCTCCATCTCACTCGAAGCTAACGGATGTAAATTACATTTTATGCGGTAAGAACAACAACACGACCCGCCGAGAGCCTGGCAACGCATAAAAATTCACACATTAACTGTTAAGGATTGCCGGCGAGGGATCGGATCGGGTTTGGTTTTAGAATCGGGAGTCGGGAGTCTCTCCACTTGACCGAACTTGAGCAACTTGGCAGTGCAAAGAATTTGGCTGCGCACTTGGCAATGGGAGTCAATCATGTGTAAGGCCAGCAAGCAAGCAGCAAACCAAGACAATCCCCCAGTTGAGACCGGGGAGACCGCCTTGTAATGCAAACTTATGCAACAATTTTGCACTGCGCAAGTGCAACAACTAAAACAAGCCACATATACATCATCATCGTTGCGATTTTTAGAGAGAGAGGGGGACGCTAGAGTTGCTGGCGAAGATGATGATGATAATGATGACTGTGGTACACATCAAACATGCTCGTGTCGGTCCAACAAACAGAAGTCAGTCAGTCAGTTAGTCAGTTAGTCAGCCAAGTTGCTGCTGCTGTGGCTGCTTGTGCTGCATGTTGCTGGTGTTGATGTGGATGCAACAACAGCACACTGAAAGAAAACCAGGAATTTTAAGTACTTTTTCCGAGCCTCAGACGGGAATAAAAGTATTTAAGCAAGTTCCTGAAGAATTCGCGTACTGACAAAATGTATGAACCCTAATGAATTAAAGCTCAGAAGAAAACATCAGCATTTTTTAATATGGGCGTTTTGTGTAAAAGGCATTTAAACGAATTCCTGAAGAATTCGCGTATTCTACATTTTGTTTCCATTTCATTTAATTCCTGAATTCTACACTTTATAGGTACTGTTTTTTTTATTTTCGCAATGAATTAAAGCTCAGAAGAAAAGATAAGCATTTCTTTATCATAGCCGTCTTTTGTAAAAGCATTTACACGATTTCCTGAAGAATTCGCGCTCTATAGATTTCGTTTCAATTTTATTTAATTCCTAAATTCTACACTTTATAGGTACTATATTTTTTTCGCAGTGCTACATCAGCAACTTGGCTTCTTCGTGTGCTCAAGCAGCCAAGCAGCGGGCCAGGAAAAAGCCAAAGTTGTTGGCGGCTCTCGGCCGAGTCGTGCATTTTGTTTATTCTAGGAAAGCGCGCGCGCACCGCCTTCGCTCCTCCTGCCCCAGCTACTCCAGCTGCCCCATCTTCCCCCGTGATGCCCCACCTGCCCCAACTGATTCCCCCGACTCCCCCAGCCACCTGACCATGGCCATGGATTTTGCTGCCACAACAAGTTGAATGACCCGGCGCGCATGTGTGCAAAAATGTGTACACAAACCATAAAATACAAGCCACAAGCACTGGCAGCCTCACTTACATAAGTAGGCCTAGGTGCTCTGGGACTCCGGACTCCGACTCTGGGATTCTGGCCAAAAACTAGGAACCAAACTTAAGCCCAAGTCAGGCACGCCTTTTGCTGGTTACGCTTTATTATTTAGTGCTGTAGGTGGACTGTGGGACCGCCGCCGCCTGGGGAAAATGCGAAAAAGTGGAAGTTCTCCCAAATATATTCCCGTTGATAGCCATACTTTCCCCATTATTCCCTCGGCCAACTTCTGAGCTATGCGGAAATGCAGGCGAGTGAAAATATTTGCCATGCCACAAATATTTCAAAGATTACAAAATAAACACAAATCTTCGCCGGCGCGGCTTGTTGTCCCCAAATGCGTTGTCGTTACCTGGTTTCTCTTTCTTCTTCTTTTATTTTTTTACCGCTATTCTGCAGCTGCAACATCAGCAACTTCTTGACCACACCCACTTACAGAAATACAGAAATTGGAGGAGGAGTAGTACCCAGTACTATAGCCATTTCTCACCCCGCCTGCGTTGGCCTGCGTTTATCTGGCTTCTAATTAGATGCATCCAAATAAAAGGAGAATGCCCCCTTGGGCAGAGGAGCAATAAATCGATCTGTAATTGCCAGACTCTCCTCTGGCTAGCAAATTTCCCTGTGCATTGCAGAAACAATTTCCATTTTCCCCGGCCTTGATCACATAATTTCCATAATGCCGAGCAGCAGATCAATATGGAGTGAGCGACAAGCTAACAACGGAGAACCCAGACCAGACTCGACTCTCCACAGGCACCCGTATCATGTCCATGCATCAATGCTGAAAGCAGCCGCCAGGCAGCAACTAGCAACTTGCAACTAGGCAGCAGCAGCAGCAGCAGCAGCAACTAGCAACATCAGCAGGCGCCCTAACAATGCAACTGCAACTGAAAAGCGGCGGTGGAGGCCTCTGTTGGCAAATGAATTTGCGAGTAATTTAACATGATTATGTCGGCGACAAGGTAGCAATGTAGACATCGAAGCAGCAGCAGCAGCAGCTTCTTTTGCTCCTCGATTGCGGCCAAATTGGACGCAGTTGCGCAAGGCTAAAAAGAGCAAGAAGGCCAAGAAGTCTGGAGGATAGGGCGCTACCTTGGCGTGACGCTGTGTTTTATTACCAAACTGGCTGCCCAGGCCCATGATTCCTTCTAAGTAAATTATGCCCGATGGTCATGATGCCGATGCTGGCCGGGAATGGAGATGAGGATGCCATGAAATTGCACTAGTCGAAGGCTGTTTTGCTGCCGGCGTGCATATGAAACAATTACCAAGGCTAAGGTCTAGGCCTATTCCGCTCGTCTATATGTGGACATTGTAATTGCATCATGGACGAGGCTCCTCGAGCCCATCTCATATGCATATTTATGGCTGGAAGGTTGGTTGGTTGGTTGGTTGGTTCTTTGCCCGATGTCATTAGAGAGTCAGTATGTTTGTCAGTTTGTCAGTTTGTCGGTTGGCGGTGGAGCAACAACTAGTATTCCTGACTGCTTAATAGATAATAATGAGTCTGGCCTTGGGCGCTGTAATTAAGCAGTTAAGGGAGTAGCCAGCATTCTTTCCCACAGTTTCTAGGATCTCTAAAAACGCCCTAGAGTGTCCTGCCTTTGATTTGTTTTGATGGCTTTTGCATGGCTTTAATGAAGGCTCCTCCTTGCTGTGCCGTTCCAGCAATCAATCTGTCCGGCTGTCAGTAATCCTCTTGCATTCCCCTCAGATCTCCAGCTAATCACATGGCCAGCTGAAGATCATCTAGCGTATATATATCATAATTTTGTTTGCGCAATTTCAAGACAAATTCTTATGGCCCCAATCTGTGGGATGGGTGGAGCCGTTTTCGCAACGCTACCCATTCAATTATTACACCGCTAGCTGTTATTGATAACAGCGCATTGATTACAGCAATTGCCGAAATAATAGTCCCGACCAACGGACCAACGGGAGATTCCGATGCAGATTCAGATAGCTGCTACTCCAACCGACAGGTGATGGATGCCCAGATGGACTCGGACCGACCACCGTTCCCGGCAATCAGCTAACAACAAGTTTTCCGCGCAACCGCGCATGCGTAACTGTTTATTAATTTGCACTGGAAAAACTCTCACGATTCGGTGTCCTTCCTGGCTAGAAGCGATTCAATTAAGTGCCACTCCAAGAGCTAATTGCTCGCTGACTTTTGTTTCCCGGTTCTATCGTTGTATCTTTGTATCTAGTGGGTAGTATCTAGTATCTGGTATCTCCTCCCACGCTGGCACGGCATTTAGCTAATGATCGGACACCGGGGATGGCAGATAGTGCAGGTTTTAGGTTCTTAGTTCTAGGTTCTTAGTCTTAGCTTGCAGAAACCTGCGTGTTCCGTGTCCCACAGCCCAGCCGAAAGCCATAAAACTCAATGGCCCAGCTAGCACAGCACTCCATACATCATGTGCAGAAGATTCAGCAAAGCGATAATTATACAAAGTATTAGTTCAAGCGAGAGCGTCTGACTTGGCATGACCCGTCTCGAAGTTGGAGCCGGGATCGGATCGGATCGGATGGGAGATGGTCTCTCTGTGGTTGCCATGCGATGCGTAAAGGTGCCAGCCAGCTTGGTGGGTTGATTGAACCCGTCCCTGGCGTTAGAATAGGTCTATAGTCTAGGGTCTA